GGGGGCCCAGACGTGTCGAACTTCACCTTTGAAACCAAGGGCGTGCCCGGCGTGCCCGGCGCTGTCAGGCCTTGGTGCTGGTGAAGTCCATGCTGTCCTCAGTGCCTGGGACGGGGAAGCTGGCCGGAGCGTAGGGGCACCACCCCCATCCAGCTTGCCTGAGTTGGCCACACCGTCCTGGTGGCCTATCATGGCGTCCTATCCGGTCGGAGCTTTCTTTCTCGTGAGGGAACTAGTTCCTGGCAACTCCGTGGGAGCTAGAAATAGATAGATCAACTCATTCTGAAGGGAAAGGGGTGCACAACAACGTTTGGCTCAAAACCAACAGCCAAAGTAGACTGTTCTGTTTGTGTGTTTGGGGGACATTCACCAAGAGTCCAATTTCTAGATGGGCAAAGCCATGTTGTTTAATTACTTTAGTATACTTTAGTCAGTCGTTACAATACACTTGACCCGTGTTCTATTTGCTTGTGGTTGATCCGAGCATGGTGCAGAAACTTGACAGGATAGATGACCACCACATTAAAGGGACGTGCAGCATATGTTGCATCGTTATTTTTGCTGGGTTTCATGGCCAGTCGCGATCGATTTTGAGGAGTAGTGTTCAGTTGGGTCGGGAAGCTGATACCCAAAAGTCTTGGAAAGGCACCCCATCAACATATTGCCAATTAGGCAGTAAGAAAGTTGCTCTGTTGTTAGAGGTGGCTCACTGAACTCCAAGACCTAGTGAGATGTGAAAAACAATTCTGAGCAGATAATGGCCCAAATGTCTAGAAGCTGGAAAAAGACACAGTGTTAGAGGTCAATCACGCGACCAATCTACCCATTTCGGTACCGCCGAGCATTTCAGTTCCCTGTTGACGCAACCAAGGCGGATGGGGAGGATTTGCTCAAGGCCTGGGTCATCTTGGTGTTGGCGGCTGTGGCGGGCTGGGGATGAAGACTGAGTGGGTTTTCTTCAACTGAGCGGATGCGTCCAGAACGGCAGAGCGACAGATCCTACCTGCTCCCTCTCATCTGCCGAAGCTGCTTCCTTCTGTGCTGCCGTGGTCGAGGCTCAGGTGAAAACGTCACGTTGGTCATGTTGTTTTGGAAACATGGTAGGCAGGCAGATGTGTTATGGTCCACCTTCTTGGTATAGTGCTTCGTAGGGAATGAGGGAAGGACCCCCCGCAACACTCTTAGGATTCATTCCCTCATTCCCTAAGCACCGGCCAGCACTGTAGACCCCTCGCCGGGGTTCTGCCGGGGTTTCTTGCTTCGCCTTGCCACCAGCCAGCACGGACCGCTTGTGCCGGGGACGGTCCGGTCGGCTCGAGCCTTCTGCGGTCGAGCCTTCTGCGGTGGGGCAACGAGCGATGGAGTGGTGCTGAAGACGGTGGAAACTGCCGGTGGCGCAGGCGGGATCGTTGGTGTCAGGGGAGAACATCCACCTGTGTGGTGAAAACACCCCCACCGTGGTGAAACACAATGAGTTGGTGATCAGGGTAGTGTTAGGACAAACAGACCTTTCAAGAAGGGATGGGAGCTCTCAGGGGTCACAGTTCAGATGTGTTTTAAATGGACCACAGCTGGGAGGCAACTTTTGTAGGATATCTGTTCTTCGAGCCAAAGGTTTAGGAGGAGCCCGAATTGAAATGGCCATGGGGGGATCAGGCACCAGGCATATCGCTGATTTAGAGATGACAGAAATGTTCATTGCACATAGACAGTATAGTTGTTTTGTTGGCACATGCTTGCTTGTCGCCAATCTTGAACAAGGAACAATCCTGTGCTGGATGGTTGCCAGCAGCCAGTTGGACCTTAATCACGGCGTCAGAGATCATCGCTTACGTCACTGAGATTCGACGGTTTTAGTGACGTGTTTGATCCTCCAAGAACATGGTTCGCATCCAAAACTGGGAGCACGACAGGATTTGCCATGTGTTCATCCAGACACTGAGCAGCCGAACCCGCGCTGGAGCGCCCAGGCGACCGGGGAGAAGCTCCGATGATCGCCGCTCAGATGGGAGAATGACTGGGCAGTTTCAGCCACCGAAGTGATCCCATGTAATGCAAGTTCAGTGTAAAACCTCCCTAATTCCCTAAAGAACAAACCCAAAGAAGGAAACAGGAAACAGATGTTTGAAGGATGAGAGGAGAATTTGGGTATTGATTTGTATTGTTTGTCCCTGGCGTTCCTTATCGTTCCTTCAAAACCTGAATTGGCGCTGTTCATTTGCTTCACCCTTTTGCGGCACAAACAAGCGACACCTGCCCACACCGCACGCGGCCTCCACCCACCGGCCGTTCGGAGCCGAGGCTCCCTACACGCGTTCGCTGTCGGAGGCTGCCCGGCGCGGTGCGTGGCAACACGTGGGCGAAGTGCTCTCAGAGCTTCAGGAGCCACTCGGTTCGAAGGAAGGAAGCTCAGCGAAGGAAACAGCGAAGGAAACGTGAAGCCCAGGCCCGACATGGTGGTCTATTTGGGGCCCCCCCACAGTTCGCATGTCAAGTAACTACCACCGAGAGACAGAGCTGCAACTCTCATGGGGCCTCATCGGCCTCATCACCAAAAACACCAGAGCACAGACGGCATTAGATTATCAATCGAAACAGCTACTGGCAGAAACACACATATTCAAGCAGTGGTTTCTTCAATGACAGATCAAAACAATCAAACCAGTGTTTTTCATGTGTCAGCAGTAGTTTGGTCAGAAACCGTGTTTCTCCAAGCAGTTTGATTTGTAAACACGGCTCTTTCGAAACCTGAGAGAAAAATCTCGCCTCGTTTCGCCTCACATGAGGCGAGAGTTGGAGCCAAATGTGATCCTCTTCAACGCAGCCATCAACGCCTTCGGAAAGTCGAAGAAATGGCCGTCATCTCTATGGCTACTGGGGCACATGGCACAGGAGACGTGTGAAGTGAACACCATCAGCCGGAATGGCTTTCTCAGCGCCTGCGAAAGAGCTGCATGTTGGCAGAGGGCATGTATGACTTTGGGGAGTTTCGCCCAGCCGAACTTGATGCTCGCTTGGCCAATCAAAACACTTTTTGCGTCTTTTGGCCCAAACCTTCTTACTGCGGAGCAATAGCCCAGAAAAGAAGTAACATCTTTGGTGTGGGAGTAGAAAGAGTTCAGAAGTGAGGATCAGTTTCAACACACTATTGAGCTCTTGCTGCCGAAGCCATTGGCAAAAGTCCTTGGAGGTTTGGGGTGCCATGACGGGGTATCAGCCGGATGTTTTCACTTGTAGCGGCCTAGTCCGTGCATGTGAAACTGGGCAAGGATGGCAACTGGCTCTCAACCTTTGTAACTGTGAGTGGGCCATTCCCAACGTGGTGATCTATAGTGCAGCAATCAGTGCATGTTCGAGCTGTTCTGAGTGGGAACAAGCTCTTCTCTTGTTTACCCAGATGAAGAAGGCCATGCGCCCCAATGTCATCAGCTATAGTGCAGTCATCGATGCCTGTGAGAAGGGGGGGTCAGTGGCAAAGGTCCTTAGCACTACTTGGGGAAATGAGAGGCTCCAGCATTCCCCTCGATCGTGTGGCCTTGGGTGTGGCTATGAGAGCTTCCGAGAGAGGTTTGCAATGGCCTTTGGCACTCCATTTCTTGTTCCTCGTCCAACAGTCATTGCAGGTTCCATTCTGGTCCCATTGAAGATGAGGGGCTCACGGCAAAGCATGTGATTGTTTGATCCTTGTGAACCATATACCTTGGTCAAGTGCTTTGTTTGTTTGCTGATAGCACTTCTGAATGCCCTCAAACTCGGCACAAGTTGTCCACTGGGTTGTCTATGTTCTTGGTCCTTCTTTAGGAAATGAGACTCCCTGATCATATCATCTCCCAGACAAGCCACATCTGACTTATGAGCGATAATATCACCATTATATATTATTGTATTATATATATATATGTTATATATGTACCATTATGACCATTATGTGATCTTAAAGAATGTTGGTAAGATTACAACCCATACATGACTTACATTGACCCCTATTACCAACATGTTCCAACAGGTCCTTTCTCTGGTGTTTTGATACCAAACCCTTCGGCCTTTTGCTCCAACGGTGCATCCCTTTGGATTCCTCCCTCCCACCGGTTGGCTCTGAAGGTCCGAGTCCTGCGAGTCGGGCGGCGGCGGTCCCGCGGTGCGCCACCGCCCGGATGCGCGGTGCTTCGCGTCGGCGCTCGAGAGCTGCGGACGGAGCGAACGGTGGCAGGAGGCCGGGCCTGGACGCTGGGGACGGGACACGAAGGGACGGTGCTATGACTGACATGGAATGAAAATGGATTTTTAGAGAGTCCAAAGACATTGACAATCGATTTGGAGATGGTTTGGAACTCTGACTGTACTGATAGAATTGAGTGAATGAAGCATGAGTTTTATTTGACCATTGTCTTAATTATTCTTCCTGCACCATTCTTCAGAGATCTCTGAGACATCCTGACAGTGAAAAGGTTCCTGGGAGAAGAAACTCCAGTTGGTCGGCGGTGATACTTCGGATATTTTCCAGAAGAGTTTACTGGGTTACTTCTTATGTATGCTTATGTTACTTCCAGTGTTACACTCCCTGGAACTAACATGGAAGTGGATGGCATGGCCCCTCGGAAGACCATGAAATCCACGACAAACAGGTGGTTTTCCACTTCCAGTGCTAGGTAATAGGATAGACCCAATGCCTTTACTAACCGTCATCATCCACTGTTACAGGTAATAGGCTAGACCCAATGCTTATGTTACTTCCAGTGTTACTTCTTATGAAGATCCTTTTCGCCCCGTGGAGTCCCTTCCAGTGGTCGAAAAGGAGCACGGTTCAGCTGGTGAAAAGCTGGTGAAGGGCGCTTTCTGGAGGGCTTAGGTTGGAAACTGTCGGCCTGTTGGCTTGTGGTTGGAGTCTCGTGTTGTTTCTTCGTTCTTTCTCTTCAGCTCGGTATTTCTTGGGGTGCGACTGGGTCAGTGGAACTGGGAACATGGCTAAAAATATGGACACGATGGTGTGCTGGCAGGTGATGATGTTGGTGAAGACCATGGTGGAGATGAGAGTTTCGGATTTCAGCATTGCCAGGTGGGACGTGGAGACGGAGATGTGTCGCCGGGAGGAGGGGTGGAAGGTGCTTTTGAAACGGGCTGAAAACGGAAAGGGAGTACAAGGAGGATTTGGAATCTATATCCATTCCGCCCGCCTTTGTGTAGGCGTGTTGCCTCCTGTGTTCGCAGATGTTCTCAGCTTCAATCATGAGTGTGCCTGGTACAAAAGTATCGGGCAGACTAAGACAATGTTTGCCTGCTGCACCAATGTGAAATTGAATCTCTTCGTTCTTCACAAACTCAGTTAAAGAAGATGAAAGAGGATCAAAGCATCTCAGGATATGGACATGATCTGTCTGATTCTTTCCTCCTCCTTCGTTGAACCGTGACACTTTACCCGAGCACTCATACCTGGGAAGCCGGATCCGTCGATATCGATGTGGTGATTCATGGTCCTGGTCCGTCCGCCGCACGCGAAATTGCGCGCGAAACCAAGCCGGCGTCAACCGCCGGAGTCCAGCAGCGAAAGCGCAGAAAGAGAGACGCCAGGGACGACGACATGGGACGATGACGCAGCATAAGGGGCACGGAAGACTGGCTTGCTTCGGCACGAGGCCCCTCAAAGAGTGGTGAGGACTGATAAAGCAGGGAAGCGAAGTCCATCCACTGGTTGGTTCACCATTGTACATCCATTGCTGTTGGCTGGTTCACTGTTTGATTTGTCCGTCCTCCCTATGTATTCACGCACAAAGAACGGATTTTTCCAGCACCAGGTACGAGCATTCCTCCCAAGCTGAGAGCACCTTGGACTGTTTCAAGCATTCGGCCTTCGTGCTGCTCCTGCAACTCATGACCATGGAGTCCTCCCGCTTCACCTGCATTGACACCCATGCAGGGCCGGCCTTGTATCCTGGCAGTCACCTTTTCAGATCCTGGAAAACCAGGGCAATGGCTGGTTGAAAGACTGGTTGATCCTTAAAGAAGAAGAACTCCCTTGATCCATTGACTGGTTGATACTATGTAGTTGCCAAGAAGAAAGACGGACCTGGTAGTGGAGGTTCCGACGGACCTGAAGGACTCACGTCGACTGATCGAAATCGAAGTTCAGTACGAATCCTTGGACTCTCCAACTGCAACTCCCTTGGACCAAGGAGAACAACCTCTGGGAGTTGCAGGTTGCCATTTTTTCCTGGTCAAGGGACCTGTCCGCCACGGGTCGTCATTCCAATCCACCTGACCTGGCACTGGAATCCATTCCAAGCGAACCCCTCCCGGCCACGTGAACTGAACTCCCCCCAGAACCTCAGGTACCACCTGGACCCGGTCGCCCTCCAGCGCCGCGGCGAGCCACTGGGGATCCAACGAGCTGCACCGGAGCTGCGCCGGAGCTGGGACTCCACGCTGCACCACTACGTCCGAGCGGCGACCGCTACGTCCGTTGAGGAGGAGGAGGAGGAGGATCATCGAGTTGGTGCTGGTGAGGTGCAATATCTGGGCTCTCCTTTGTTGGCGCTGAAGTGGTTGAGGCCACAGGACAAGGCGGGGCGAGTGGAATCGAAGATGAAGAAAAATTAGTTGTGTTTCAAGGGTATGAAATACGATATGAGGATTTCGCGAACCAACTGCATTCCCGAGTGACTTCTTTTGTACTTCGTCCAGCCGCTTGCTGTTTCAGTGCAACCTCCAGGGTGTCCATGCAGAGTTTGCCAGATGGATTCGACGAATTGGGGCAGTAGGGAGGCCTCACGAAAAGGGCACCCCGTCTTGGTCAACTGACTGGTGCGACCCACTTTGACAGACATGACGGACAAAATTCATCCAAGTCTTGACTGAGAACTCATTCCCTCATACCGCAATGCCCTGCTACAGTGAGCGGTCGTAAGCACCAGTCAGTCCACCTCCAGTTCGCCTCCACCGGGGTCACCAACGCTGAGTCGAGGCCATCTTCTTCGAGCTCTCGGAGAGTGCCTGTCATCAGCTTCGAGAGAATGTCAAGTCGCAACGGAGTGAACTGGAGGCCACCGGATCGCCGCTGGCGCTTTCACCGCTTGAGGAATCGGGCGGTGTCAGGCTTCTCATCCCCCATTTAGCCTGACACGAGCCTGACAGGAGCCTAACGCACGATGAACTGCTGAGTATATACGTACTTTCATAATTAATCAATTAGCTGGATATGCACAAAGTCCCAGTTGATCACTGTCCAAAACGAACCAGTTGAACACTGCTTCATACTTTTTCGTTGATCAAATTGTTTGATGAAGTTGGATCCAACATGATCCAACTGTAGCTCATCAGGTGGAGATCCATCAAAGCAACTCCTATTGGCACTTGGCGCAACTCCAAGACCTCAAGCTCCGATCGGATCGAAGCCTGGTGTTGATGGATCCTCCCTACGAGCCCTACGAGACGTACATGGCGTGGAACCTCTTTTTGCTGCAGGAGTCTGTATGCCACATAAAGCGACGCCATTCTGCCTGGAAAAAAGAACCAGATCTTACCAGTATACCAAGAATACCAAGAAATGCCCTATATAGAGGCTTTTGATTTGGCCAATCTTCTCTTCACGGTTTCACCGGGCATTTCGCCGTTGCACGGGAAGCTTGCTCGCTTGCTCGCTCGCGTTGACCGTGGACGGTTTAGCTCCACCACCTTCACCCGCCTAGGAGTTTGATCGAAAGTGGCCCAGAACCTCCGTTCTGATGTGGTTTCCATATCTGGATCAAGCTCAGGCGGGAAGAGACGACCTGCAGGAACTGCACCGATGTGGTTTGCGTGGTGACCGTAGACGAGAGTGTGAGTTCTATAGAGTTCTTTCGTTTGGAGTAGAGTCGTTGTGGGGAGCGATGAGAAATAGGCTGTGCTTTTTTGAGAGGCTGCCTCCAAAAAGAGATCATTTAAAGAGTTCGATGCTTTCAAGCGATTTGAGAAGGCTCTTCCTTCAGGAAGCTGGAGAACTCAGAACTTCAACAAACGTCTCAGAGATACCCGGTGTTGAAGTCCTGTTCCTTTTGTTTTTTGGTCAAGGATCCCTTTTGGGGGTTTGGAAGCGCCACCCAGTACGAGCAGCATCGCCCACCAAACCCAGTTCCACGCGTGCGAAGAGATGTGCCAGACGACGGCACAGGTGGATCGGCTCTACCGAATGTTGAAGTCCTTGGACCTGGACCCGGTGCTTTGCGCGGAGTTCGGCTTGCAGGAGACAGAGTCCTTGGAAACCTCAGGCACCGGCACCCTCCATCAGTGGGTGTGCCACAAACCCACGACGTCACACATACGGAATGTCACACCAACTCGGGATGTCATACATGTACGGAAAAAATCGCATGGGACCAGTGCTGAAGAGTGCAAGTTTGGTGGAACACCCATCTGCGGTTTTGAACTTGGAAACCAGCTTGGAAGAACACCATGAACATATATGACATATGGTATTCCCCAGAAGTCCAAGGACTATATTTTGACGGACTGAAGTAAAGGAAATTCCTAGACTCGGGTCACCTAGTCAGACCATTCTTTTTATTGTCTTTGACTCCCAGGGTATTTGGACCGAACTCATGTCAAATATCCACCGAGCTGCAGCGGTCAGGTTTGATCTTCCTCCGGCCACCGAGGGAGCTCGGGGGCCCAATGGGGGGCCCATTGGGGTGAGGCACAGCCTATGGTAGCCTCGTCCGACCTGAAGATGTTTGGCGTTTGATGTGAGGTTGTCTCATGAAGTATCCGGACATGCCAGACATCAGCACCAAATTGGATGATAGATGTGCATTATAGTTGCATACATTTGCTTATGTAGTATAGACATCTAGTGAACACATGCAACCACTGAAATGGATAGAACATGATAGAACTGTATGAATAATTTCGTGTGAGAGTCTCCAAAAACTCATGGGCAGAAACCCACTGCTCTGATTCGTCCCATTATTCGTTGAGGACTGAGCCTCGATTGCGAGAGATGCTGAGGTTGCTCGGTCGCATGTGGGAGTCCAGCACAAGTGTGTGTGTGTGTGTGGTGCAAACATGTTTGTTGGCAGTATGAATCTGGTGTGTTGTTTCAGGAAGTCAAAGTTCTTGTTGCACTTGCCTTTTTTTTCTGGGTGAAAGCGCCATCAGTGATTGGGCAGGCAGGTTGCCTGGGGCGTCTCGTTCACTCCAAAGGAATGTCTGACCCACCCAGGAGCAGTGGACAACCTTTTACCGTTAATAACCCTTTTGGGGGGGATTGGTTACCCCACCAAACATTGTTAACTGTTATTTTCCAAAAAAACAAACTGACTGGTCAGTCCCTGATCTTATGGGAGGGCAAGTCATCCGAAGCGGACTTCGAGTTCTCAGATCTCCGGCAGCGGAGGTCATTGGCACGGATCTTATCCTGTGACAGACCGCTGAAGAATTCGGTGTTTTGGCTCTCCGAGTGGCAGAAAAAGGGGCGGCGAAGGGGCCGGGACAAGGGGCGGTAAAACCCACTCTTTGGTACGGAAGCAAAGAGGAACTTCACTGTCCTGTTTGCTGTTTACTGTGGATCCACAATCAGGACCATCAGGAGCTCAGGAATCCCAAACGTTAGAATAAGTAAGGTACGTTTTTATATATGTTCTTGTTCACAATGTTGTATACCTTCTCACAACTTGACATTCCAGACGGCTTCATCATCTTCAACCATCCACATCCACCTTTGGCAGGTGAACGATGCCATGTTCCTTTGCTTGTACATTTGCAGCGCCCAGGCCGGCTGTAGTTGCAAGTCATGTCATCACAGTGCCGCCCAGCCTGGAGCAGGAAGTGATTCCAATCACCGGTCCCATGTCCCACGTCCCGATTCTTGCGCTCCTCGACCTTGGAGGCTGGACCATGGCTAGGTGCTGATGCCTGGCCAGCCTCCTTCCTCTCCAAGGCGGGCGTTTTTGAATATCTGTGCGACGTAGAAGGGCACCTTCTGGCGGCACTGGCTTGAATTACTTCATGAACATGCTTGGGGGGGTGCACACATAGGATAGACTCTTGATGAATATGGCAGATACAGTAACTCCCCGATTGGGATTGTAACACATCTCTTAGAGGCCTGGAGGTGTTGACATATCAAGAGTCTACATTGCCGGGCACAGATGGCAGATCCTGGGGCCCAGATGGCAGTCCATCCGGTGGAGGTCCTGGAGGTCGTGTTCAGCGGAGGAAGGAAGCAAAGCCTCTGAGGTACGCGATGAATCTTTTCTGTGCCAACCATTGCTATTTGCAATTAGTCCATGAGGGGATCATTTAGAAACTCAGCGATGGTCAAACACTGAATCGCCTGAGCAGTCTTTTCCTTGGGTGCATAGTCTTTGCAGAAGAGGTATGGCCATTGAACCATGTTGAACCGCCCTACAGCATCACCTACAGTTGGAACCACCAGAGGAGTTTCCGAAACGCGCGGAGGCTGTGGCTTCCTGCGTGCGTCGTGCCATCAGTCATCCGCTATCATCTACGGCTCTCAGTGTCGTCGGACGATGGAAATCCATGACCTGTAGAAGCTGCATCTGTTGAAGAAGACCATGTGTTCAGCCAAAAACACTTGAAAGTTAACCCAACCATCTCCAAGCAGGTCTGAAGCACCTGTGAACAGGGTGCCCTTCAGGAATCTGGAGCATGCACATGTTTGGGTTGACAAGAAGCAAAGGCTCAGAACCCACAGCGGCGTCCATGGTAGCGACCAAAAAGCGGTGCTTGGTGCTTTCCGGGGGGTCCAACATGGTCATTTGGAAGTCACACAGCTGTCGCTGTTCGCCCATCCTCCCGACCTTCACACGCCCATCCCATGCGGCACTTCCGATGGTGTGTGCTTCTGCTGACGGCACCTTCGGGCCTGGCGGAGGAGGCCCAGCTTGAATGGTGAGCTTGAAGGGACATCTGGGGTTGGAGGAAACCCCAGCACAAGTGGATTCCATTGGTTTGTGCGCCAAATCCCAGAAAGAATGGCAAGTGATGCAGTGAAGAGAGACAGGCGCATGATTGAGGTACCATATGGCTTCTTGATGAAACAGGTGCATGTTAGGGTTATCAGCTGCTCAACTTCCCAAACGCTGTGGTTTCACTCAACAATCGCTATAGATCTCAGACCCAAATTCCGCACCCCAACACCCGGGCCCCCTGCAGTCCGCTTCGATGCATTGCATCGATGACCAGACATGAGTGATGGACTATATTTTTAATTCTAATAGCTTTTTGTTACCACTAGTAAGGCACCTGTTACTACTAGCGTGGCACTTGTTACTAGAAGCGATGCACTTGTTACTACTAGGGAGATGGAAAGCCCCAGGATGCTCCATGTGTTATCATCCCACTGCCGACATTGGACTCCACTTTCCACTCTAGGCTGATGAGGCCACCGTGAGGAGCGCTAGTGGGTCCGGGGACGGTGCGGATGGGTTTTCCGGAGGAAGGCCCGGGGGGGGGTTAGACAAACAGGGGCAGTGCAACTATTGCTGTGCGTTGTGTGACTATATATTATAGAGCTTACTTTGTGGCGGTGTCGGTATGGTGCTTTGATTTCGGAGTTCAGATCTTCAGCTTTTCAGTGAAGTTGGGCTGAAGTTGGCTTATATGCTTATACTAAATCATACTAGCGCAGTTGTTCTCTTGACCATCCAAGCACTCACTGAGCATGGAGACCTGCAGCACAGCATGTTTCAGGGCGAGTGCCAGCGAGTCCACGGGAACGTTTCATGGGTTCAACGGCTTCTGTCCTCGGGTAGTGTGAAGCCGCAGAATGGCTCTCGAACCAATGGTGTCGACATGAAGATGGCAACAGCACGCTTCATGCAAAGACCCCAAGGCACCAATCGAAAATATAATTACAAAAATGAAAGATCCAAAGATCCACACAGTGATGCCTTATGATACCTTAAAAAAGAAAAACCCACACACAACTGACCACCTTGCACGACCGTGCAACGTTCGTCTAGAGGAAAAGCCCTCGCGACAACGTCCGTCCGCACACACCTCGCGCAGTCGAAGGCGCTGCCTGCAGCGCCGCTTTCCACGGAGCCGCTCCGAACTGCCACGGCTCCTGAAGCTCCGCCGAACGCGGGCGACGCGACGCGGGCGACGCCGAAGCCGAAGAAG